GCAGAAAATGAAACCATGGATAAGGAAGGACTACTGTATTTTGAAAAATAAAAATCTTTCATCAAGTATATGGTATTTTTGTAGGAAACCGATGTTTTATTTCACTTTTTCACTTGAAAGATAAGTAAAAAAAAAAGTTGCAGGTTTTATACTACCTTCACAGGATTTACAGGGTTAGCAAGTTTATTTTCTACATACCAATATTTAAAAAAAGGCTCACCACTATTAGCATTTTCTCCTAACATTTAATTTTGAATCAATCTCAGAATTACAGTAAAGTTCAACGTACAACGCAAATGGCATTCTTCCTGAATGCTTTCAGGGTGAGTTGTTGCATCATCACCGAATGCTTTAGTGTGTATTTTCTACAAATGAGGGTATTGTACGTAACTGTTTTATAACTATCAACATTTAGAAATGAACATACAGTACAATTACAGATCTAACCGCAGGCCCCATTAAAATTTACCAGTTGTTACAATGATGTTCTCTCTCACAAAGGGACCCACTCCAGAGTCATGCTCTGAGGTGGGCTGTCATGCCTCTAGTCTCCTCCAGTCTAGCCCAGCCCCTGAGTCTTTCCGTGACTTCCACAACTCTGGGACTTTTGAAGATTATAGACTAGTTACTTTGTAGAGTTGTCCCTCACTTTTGATCCATCTGACGATGTTTCCTCATGATTAGATTGAAGTTACGTATTTTTGGCAGAAATTCCACAGAAACGATGCTGTGGTTTGCTTACCGCCTCCGGTCAGGGGGCACCTGATTTTTATGTCTTATAATCTTGTTTACTTAAGGTAGCACCTGCCAGGTTCTTCCTTTAAAACCTTTTTTTTTTCCCCCTTTGTAATAGGTATTTTATGGGAAGGTACTTTGAAACCATGTAACTTTCTGTTAATCAGATGTTCATTGTATTTATTTATAACAGTGAATTTATGAATTCCTGTTTATTTGATGGGTAATAATGGGATACTGTCATTATTTATTTTGATGCATAAATGGCTCCCTCTTTGGCTAATGAGAGTACTTTCAAGCTGCTTTGTCTTTTTGATGTATTCCTATTAGTCTTTGAGCATTTTTCTTATTTTTTGGTGAAAAAAGATGTTCATCTTGTACTTTTTTGCCCCAGCTCTGAAATCCATGATTTTTTCAAGGAGCCCTGGTTTCTTACAGTAGAATATGACATTTAGAAGTCAAGATCCAGGTGTCAGGTGTGCTCATTGCTATTGGGATGTCATCGCTCCTAGGCCATCTCACTGGACAAGGGTGGGAAGTGCATGTATTGCCTGTATATGAACACACACACACACACACACACATACATTTTTGTCACCGTTTGAATATTATCTCAGTATTATTTAAAACCATGGATTCACAATATCTCTAATTCTAACACTGCAGGGTTCATTCAGTAGGTTCCTTTCATAACTGTAACTCCTTTTTTTGACAGTAAGTTGGCTCTCGTTATCCTCAACATATTTTCTTAATCAATCCCTCTGCATGTGACTAATCTCTTCTGTTGTTGCTCTTTTTGATACCCACCATGGGGGTGCCATTGTCACCTTACTCAGCCTCCAAAATCCCACATCAGGCTGCTACCTCCCCCAGCCTCAGCCCCGTTTGAACACCCTTCTCACTTCACGCTCTGATACCCTGCACTGGGTTTGCTCTCCTCACTCCATTTGGACTCCAGCACCCTGTGCAGGGGAACCGAGGCTGCCACATTCATGTATGGATGTCCTCTTTATTCCGCTAGGGCTCAGGCATCCTGCAGCAGATCACTGCTGCTCCTCCTCCATCCATCTCATGCAGACACCTGTTTTGCTTGGCCTTAACTAAACTGACTGCAGATTTGTCATCTTGCAAAACTAAAACTCTGTACTTATTAAACGACAACTCTCCAGTTTCCTCTCCCTCCAGACCCTGGCAACTGCCATTCATTCTACTTTGTTTTTTTGAATCTGAGCACTCCAGCTACCTCATATAAATATAGAATGAATAAGGTTTGTCTGGAGTAGGATAGGAGAATGAAGGAAAAAAGAAAGGAGAAGAGTAAGTAAGATGTGGCTGGTGTCAGGCATGTTCCGGACATTTAGTTAAGGGGAAGACTGCCATAGCAGTATGTATGGGAAAATGAGAATTTGATGAATAAAGATAGTCCCTAACTTTAATATGAAGACTAAATTTAAGATATATTTACATAGGTAAAATTGGGCAAAATGGAGTACGTGTTAAAACATAGGGCAGATTCTTAGCTTCTCTTCCTCTACTTAATTTGGTAGGTGGAAAGCTGAGTGATAGGGGTTCATCATATACCATCCCACATTTTTCTTATACATATAAAAGTATCCATAAAGATGTTAAAAAAAGATTCACATAGAGAGTGAGCTAAACTGACGTTCTCTGGACTAGGTCTACTCAAATTTCTATGTAATAGATCAGGATTTATTTAAACATTACATTTATTTATTTTTTAAAAGGTTAAAAAAATTATTTATCTTTAGAGAGGAAGTGAAGGAGAGAGGGAGAAGAAATATCAATGTATGGTTGCCTCTCGTGTGTCCCCTGCTGGGAACTGACCTGAAACCCAGGCATGTGCCCAGACTGGGAATTGAACCGCGATCCTCTGATTCATGGGCCCACACTCAATCCACACCAGCCAGGGCACATTTGGTTTTTGAGTGATTTCATAATCACTGTCTATGGTATTAGGGACACTGTTTTTATCAAGATCGGGGGCACAAACCTACAGAGGCTTTGCATGCTAACCGAGGTAGGCGAAGTGCTTGAGTATGTCTAAGAATTGAGAGGAAAATTAGCCAGGTTGATGGAACATCGTATCTACTGGCAACACAATCAGATCTGCGGAATTAGGGAAGTTCCATAATTCCCTAGAGAGGAAGGGCAGGAAACTACTAGGGAGAGATAGTGATAAGGACTCTGTGCAGATATTTTGTCTGTGCAGACAGGCAGATAGCACCAGTGAGTTCTAAGAACAGGTGGCAAGGCCCATGTTTCCAAGTTTGGGCTCAAAACAATAACTAGAATACTCAGCAGGGAACTAAAGCATTCGTTCATCTAACCTGTACTCAGTTAGTCCTATACTGTACCTAAGAATCATTGGAGAGCATCTTAAAACATAGTGTAGATTCTCGACTCTTCTTCCCTCACTTAATTTTGTAGGCGTCAAGAATCTACATGTTTAACAAGCGTCTCACTATTCCTGATGCAGATATTTTGCTGGTCACGCTTTGACAAAATGACTAGTCCACTGTGTCCTGCACAGTGTACCAACACAGAGGGAGTGGGGGGAACATTGTGGCTAGAATCTTGTACGTGAGGAACATAGCAAAAGGGAGCTGAATTAACTGGAATCAGAAATGAAGGCAGGTGGTAATCATTTTGCAATATGTAAGTGTGTTAAACCAGCATTCGATACACCTTAAACTTGCACAAAGTCAATTATATCCCAGTAATGCTGGGAAAAAAAGAGTAAAGTCAGAGTGAGGCAAACCTGATGTCAGAGGCTTGGAATCTCTTCATATTCCAACTGATTTGTAATAAGTTGGTTTCTAAAAAGAATTTTCTTCTGGGGGCTGTTTGCAGTTAGAGAAATTGGTGAACTATGAGGGGCAGAAAAATAAGCAAGGTATGTCATTTACAAGAGATATATCGAGTAGAAGAAACATAGCAACATCCCCAAATGTGTTTACTCTTGCTTTTTATAATCATACCACATTGCAACTGGTAGTCCTTCCTGGTCCTATGAAAACGTGGATAGCTCTAACTTTTTATTGTTTATATTCTATGACCCTCTTACATGTGTGAAAATAAATGACAACAGATTACCTCAACAGTTGTTTTATAGAGCTTTAAGTAGAAGTAATGTCAAGGAATAAAGGAAGAAGTTTGAGGAATCACTGAAATGTTGCCTAAAGCCACAAGGCATAACTGAATGGTAAAGTTATGATGAAAAATTAGTCTCTCCTACAGTTACGTGATGGGGTTGTTCTTTTGAGCAGGGTCTTCATGCTGACCTTGAGTGAGAGACACATAGCCCTAGGCTCTCTGACCTCAAGTGGGAGATTCCATGTGAAAAGTTCTTTTTTTATCTCTATCCCTTTGATTGTAATCAGCATAAGCCACAGCATCTTTAAAATAGGGGAAGATGTAATTTCACACAATTTAAAAGAGGTAAATGTGGAGGTGCTCTCCAGGCCACAGGCGTATGGTGGTAGTGAGTTTTGTCCAACAAAACTCTAACACAGAATAATTTCCCACAGACTCCTGAGGCTCATGGAATAGGCATTCCACCCCTATTTCATTTTACTGTTTAAACATATATTGATTCATGCCTACTATATGCAAGGTTTTGGTCTTAGTTCTTCTTTAATTACTATCCAGTAAAATTAACTATTTTTAGTGTATTTAGTTAGGTCTGAGAATTTTAACATATGTTCAGGGGTGGGCAGATTAGCTTTACAGTTCATATGTCCAGTTCATATGAAAAAAAGCCATGCAAGTTATGATTATTGCAGTAGCTTTATTAACTGCAATGCAACTGTAAACCTACTTTTGTCCACCGCTGTATGAATGAATCCATGTAACCCCCACCACGGTCAGCATATAGAAAACAGTTTCATCACTCTCCCGAACTTCCTTGTACTGTCTCCCCCTCCCTAATTCCTAGGAACTATGATCTTCTCTCTCCCTTTAATTTTATCTTTTTGAGAATGTCATATAAATGAAATCATACAATATGCAGTCATTTGCTACTGACTTTTTGACTCAGCATAATACCTTTAAGATATAGCTTTGTCCAAGTTGTTACATGTATCAGCAGTCCCTACTTTTTTACTGCTTAGTTGCATTCTGTTGTATGGATTGTATCACATATTGTGTACCCATCTGGGTTGTTTCCAGTTTTTGGTGATTATAAATAGAGCTGCTATAAATACTGTGTATAGGTTTTGTATGAACATAAGTTTTCACTTCTCTAGGGTAAATACCCAGGAGGGGAATTGCTGGGTCATATGGTAAGTTTTTTTTTTTTTTTTTTAAGATTTTATTTACTTATTTTTAGAAAGAAGGGGGAAAAGTGAAAAAGAGAGGGAGAGAACATCAATGTGTGAGAGATACACGCATTGGTTGTCTCTCACACGCCCCCCAATTGGGCACCTGGCCTGTAACCCAGCCATGTGCTCTGATTGGGAATCGAACTCATGACCTTTCAGTTCACAGACCAGCACTCAATCCACTAAGCTACACCAGCCAGGGCCCTATTTTATTTTATTTTTTAAAAGACTTTATTTCCAGACATAGGAGAAGGGAAGGAGAAAGAGAGAAATATCAGTATGTGATTGCCTTTCATATACACCCCCACTGGGGACCTGGCCTGCAACCCAGGCATGTGCCCTGACTGGGAACCGAACCAGTTACCATTTGGTTTGTAGGCCCACACTCAATCCACTGAGCCACACCAGCCAGGGTCGCTTGTGGCTTTTAATAAGTTGAGAAGATAGGAAAAGAAAAATATCCGGCCATCATATAATTTTTAAAATGAAGTAAACTGAGTAAGAAACACTTCTGGTCGTCATGATCGTGATCAGCATTTACTGATCACTTGTTTCTGGTAGCGTAGGTCAGTGGTGTGGTTCTGAAAACTTGCTTATTTGGGGAAATAATCTAGATAAGGAAAGGAGGGTATTCCCTTGAGTAATATATTTGTTTGGCCTCTGTCTGTTTCTCCCTTCATAAATCATTCCAAGCAGTAGTCTGTATTATAAGAAGCAAACCAACTAATTGCTAAATAAATGTTTAGTCTTTATTTTAGTTGGTTTTTAACTTGAGGTCAAATTTGTTTAATAAATAAATATGGAAGAGTTATTATTTTCATACTTTGAACACCTACTTGCTGATTATTGGTATGTAACTCCCATTTTATGTATCTGAAATGTAATTTTCTTAGCTTTAATGACTGTAGAGGTTTATAGTTATTGAATCTTTGTTTTGATGTTGTTAGGCATGTCATTACTTTTTTGGATACCAAGTTCTCAGTTAGGAAATAGCCTCCCAATTATAACTTGTTTCCCTAAGAAAATATAGTCTGCTTTGAGGCAGTTTCCAATAATATATTTCTGTAGAAATAGATTGTCAAGTAATGACTCAGGTTTAGTGTTCAGTATAATTTAGAAAAGGTGACTTAACTAGAAGAACATTGGTGTATCTGCTTTTCAAATTGCAGTTAATTGTAGTGACAGCTTATAAGATCTACATCATTCTCCCTTGGAATTTTGTTGAACTTTACAAATTTTACATGATATGAGTTAAAAATGGACAATTTAAAAGTTAATGAATTAATGAAAAAGAATCCTCTGTATGAAATCATGATTTAAATGTTTTCACACCCTCCAGTCATTTCCATTATGGCATTTTGAAAATCAATGATCGCTTGAACTTTTAGTAGAGTTGAGAAACTCTTTTTATTTAGGTATGTGTCATTTTTTATTATCGTAGTCTTATGGATATAGTCCCTTTCTTTACCCAGTGCATTCCAACTGCATTAGAAAATATTTCTTGCCCAGGGTGGTGTAGCTCAGTGGATTGAGCACGGGCCTGTGAAACAAAGGGTCGCCAGTTCAATTCCCAGTCAGGGCACGTGCCTGGGTTGCGGGCCAGGTCCCTAGTAGGGGACACATGAGAGGCAACCACACATTGATGTTTCTCTCCCACTCTCTCCTTCCCATTCCCGCTCTCTAAAAATAAGTAAATAAAATATTTTTTAAAAAGTATTTTGTAAGTATTCTTTAATGTGTTTTACTATATCTGCTGGGAAAATATAACCTTTTGAAAGAATTAATGTTAATAAGAATTACAAGTGATGTTTATCTCATTTGGGCCTGTTTCTCTTTTAATGTAGCATTAAAGTGTAGGTATGCAATGTAAGAATTCATACTATAGGACTGAGACTTTGATTTAAATATATTATAAGTTATTCATGGAAGCCTGCATAAGATACTACATATTTTTTTCCCCCAAAGATGCTTCTTTAAGTGGTTCTGTTAAGTGTAAGAATGGTCTGATGATTATCTTTTTAATTAAAATGAGAAATCTTTGTTTAAAGTGGCATTCTTTTTTTATGGCCTGTTACAGTCTCTGTAACAATCATTTCTTAAGTCTGAACGTTTTATTTCCAGGAATTCATTTATATAAAACTATGTTTAGACTTAATTAAGGAACGGTTCTTACAAAGCTTGTAAATAGCCAAGAAAAAAGGGACAGAAAATAAAACTGACATTCACATTTAACAAAATGATTGTTACAAGGTATGTAATAAGCTATAAAAATACAATAAATCCCTTTTTATAAGAGTTCATATTTTCTGATCCTTGTTTTCAAGGGTATTTAAGAAAAATATCAAAGCTCTGTAAAGTGACATCTGTTTTGCTGAATAGACTAGTGAGAACTTTAGTCTAGAGTTCTACCTGTCTTCTTAGTGTATTTTTCTTGAAATGTCCTGTAATTATTTTATATTGGAATGTAAGTTTTACATTGTGTCATAGTGCAAAAACAAGACCCGGTTCTCTTCCCACTTTTACTACTTTCTTAAAGTCATAAAGCATTGGGCAAGTTGCTTACCTGCTCGGAGTCTCATTTTCCTCATCTGGAAAGTGAAGATAATCCTCTTTCTACTTCAAAGCACTGTTGTGAGGATCAAATGAAATTATAGGTCGTGAAAATATTTTGGAAATTATATAGGACTGTGAGCATCCAAACTGTTTCTTAAAATCTCTGTGACCTTGGGTAGAAGTAGCAGTCATGATAAAACAACAACAATAATAATGGCAGCAAACACTTATATTTCAATATGTTATACCATTCAGGAGTCTAGGCACTTTACATGTATTAACTCATTTGGTCCTCTCACCTTATTAGGTCCATATTATTATCCCTGATTTCCAAATGTGGAAAGTAAAGCTCAGATTATTTTCTCAAGATCATTATTGGTTTCAAGATCATCTTTTTTCTAGTCTATAGAAAAATTATGAGAAATGCATAATGGTTAGTCATATACCTCTCACCTGGATTGGCCAATTTTTAACATTTTGCTACATTTGATTTTTTCTCTCCATATATAGTTATACTTTTCTTTCTAAATCATCTGAGTTGCAGACATCATGATATTTCACCTCTGCTTCCACATGGGTTGTCTGAGAACAAGAGCATAGTCTTTCATACCCACAAAGCAAAGTCCCACTTAGGAAATTTAGCAGTGATAACATTTTAAAATTTAATCCCTGACTGGTGTAGCTCAGTGGATTGAGCGCAGGCCTGAGAACCAAAGGATCGAGGTTTGATTCCCAGTCAGGGCACATGCCTGGGTTGTGGGCCAGTTCCCAGCAGGGGACACATGAGATCATGGCAACCATACATTGATATTTCTCTCCCTCTCTCCTTCCCTTCCCCTCTAAAGATAAATAAATAAATAAAATTTAATATGTAGTCCATATTCAGATTTTCCTGATTGTCCCAGTAATATCCTTTATAGCTTTTTTTAAAAAAGCACAGCCCAATCACATTATATATATTTACATCTCTTTAGTCTTCTTTAATTACACCAGTTCCCTAAGTCTTTTTATTGATGAAATTGACATTTTTAAAGAGTCTAGGCTAGTTTTACAGAACATTTCTCATTGGATTGGATTGTTTCTCCATGATTAAATTCAGGTTTAAAAAATTGGCAGGAATATATGTTATGTTTTCTCACTCAGGGCATTATATCAGAAAGTACATCATGTCAATTTTGTTCTTTTATTGTTGATACTGTTTTATCATTTTATTAAGGATGTGTTCTCCAGATGTCTCTGTTGTAAAGGTATATTTATAATTAATAAGTGCTTACTAGAGCGAGACTTGGAAATTGTAAATATTGTTTCCAGCATTGCTTGCCCCAATAGTGTTAGCATGCTTTGTTGATGATTCTTCTGCGATAGTTGTAAAATCATCCTGCTTACTTTGAGGCAGTTTCGAATCATTTCTTTCTTTCTTCTTAACTTTGAAGTGGTGACTATTTCTGATTTGGGGAAGATTCAGGGAAGATATGGTATAGACTTTATTATTTTTATTTCTTTTATTTTTGTTTTTGAGCTTAGACTAATTGAAATGTCTTTTATGTTCTAATTTTCAGGTTATATGCTTTATAATCTTGTTTTTAGTGGAAAACACTGCTAGAGCTGCTTGAAGAATTGAGTTTAGATTTTAAGGGCTTGTAGTAGTAAACACTGCATCAGAAGTTCCTGGAGGGGGGCTGTGTTTTTCTGTTCAATAGGCATGGGGTGAGGCCTGAAAGTGTGCGTTTCTGACAAGTTTTCAGGTGTAACTACCTTGGGATCCTCTGTGGCTTCACTAGGCCTTTCACCCTTTCACCACTCCCTGGTGGTCTGGTGGTTAGGATTCAGCGCTCTACAGGCCTTTTAAGTCAATATCTTGCTCACAGTTATTTGGGCCTTTTATCTCCTTGTTTGCTGTGTCTGGTAGACATGAGAGTACTGTGGGTATAGCATAGTGGCATCAGTTGATGTTTGCATTAGTTGAGTTTGATAAATGTTGGAAAATATTTGGGAATTGACTAAGTTACAGAATCTCATTAAACTGGCTAATCTAAAATTGACTGTGTTGTAATGAAAATGGCTATAGGCTATTTTAAAACTTAATGTGGCACTTATATTTGTTGAATATTCTTTACTTAATGAAACACTGATCCCTTAGTTTTGACCAAATTAGATGTCCCCAGTGGTCAGTTTGGGCTTTCACTACTTAAGTAATCTTTGCAAACATCCTAGCAACTTGGTCCTGTTAAGTCTGTGCAATTAGTTAAGCAAGTGGGACATTTGTTATGACATGGAGATATTTTTGCTTCTACAGAATTTGGCCAGTTGGCTCTTCTTCCTTGCTTCCACCATTAGAAATAGCTATAAACATCAGAGAAAAAAAGGATGGCCTTAATATTTGCTTCTCAGACTAAATCACAGCCTTG